GAACACCTAGTGGGATGGCCTGGAGGTGCAGATCGCGCTTTCGTCCGTCGGGGATGTCATCATCCCCGAGATGGAGGAGGCAGACGACGCGGAACCCCGGTGGAACCCGGCAGTGGTGGGCCAGTCCTGGTCGTGAACTTCGACCTTGTCGTGCACGCCGAAGTTGGCGTCTGCGCCGACCGTTTTGGTTGGCACCGACACATGATCACTGCTCCACGTGCCACCACCGCCCCCCTACTGTGCAACCGCCACAGGCGCCACCAGCCCACCTATGGCAGCCGCCTCCCTTCGTCAACCTCAGCGCAGACGAGGAAGAGGGCAACCAAGACGGTGGCGACACCATGCAATGAAGACAGCAGCGACGACTTGTTCTTTTTATAATAATTTTGAGTTTAAGTTGATGCATGATGAATAGTTCGGCCATGACTTTTGGATGTTAATGTAATATATAATTATTGTTTAGATTATTTGTTATCTCTTTTTTGTTTGAATTTTAGTTTAAATCTGAACGCTTTCGCCAAATGCGACGGACGGTCGGGTGCGACAACCGGCGGACGACAGCAAATGGACGCTTGTGTCCACTTTGCTGACCAAACAGACAGAATCCGGATAAAGCAGACGTCTGTTTGGGGTCATCCAACAATTGTTGGAGTTGGCCTTAAAACACACAGCCATAGAGCAGGTCTTAGAGCATCTCCAGTCGCGCCCCAACATGCCCCCCAAGGCCCTTTTTCGTCGCCGTTGGAGAAAATTCGGCCCAGTCGCACCCCCGGAAACCCAATTATCGCTGGTTAGGACCGATTTTGGCGCCGGCGAATCTAGGCCGAACCCGGCGCACTGGGGGGCGCCCGGGGGCAACGGGGGAAACGTTTTTTGGCACGAAAAGGAGTGGGTCCGCTGAGTGAGTGACTTGCCGCCTTCATCGTCCTCATCGCCTCTGTTCCTGCGGGAATCAATGCCAAGGCCGCCGTGCCGGTCAGCCTTCCATTGATGCCTCACGGGCGGCAGAGTGAAGGCACGGTGACGCGCGTCTCGCCCGCTCCCGCCACGCGGCACACAGCGACAGCTCTCCCACCGCCCATCTGCAGCTATAAGCCGTCTTCCCTCGCTGATGAACACACAAACTCTCGCCACTGGTGCCCTTCTCTCTACCTCTCGCCGCCGATGCCTCTGTCACCCACTTTCTCTCATGTCGACGTTAATGGTTGAGCGCTTCTCAGGCGACGGCGCAGCGGCGAACGGCTTCGGCCGCCGCCATCTTCATGAGGATGAGGCGCGCCTCCTCTACGAGGCCGACTATCCGGCGCCCCCGAACATGCGGGTGCCGGGCAACTGGAGGCTCGGCGCTGGCGGCGGCGCGGTGCCGCCTGCGCCAACCGGAGCAGCCCGGCAAGCCGAAATCGCGCGCATCCGGTCTTCACTGCCGGAGCCACAGCGGAATCAGCCGAGGTACGCCCCTGACAGCAACACGCTGTGGACGGCGTACTTCGAGTGGCGCCACGAGGAGTAGATCGCCGCCACCAATGGCGTCGAGCCCGCAGCCGCCACAACTCAGAGGGGAGGCGCCGACGGTGGGGCGTCCCAGGCCGAACCCTCGAGGTCGTCCTCGAGCACATCGAGGCCTGGGGTACCCGGCGCCCCCCTCCTTCTCTCGCGCGACATCTCCTGGATGCCGCGGCGAATGGAGATAGCGACATCGTCATTGACGGGCTCTAGCTCTCTGTCCTCCAGCTCGCCGGCGCTTTGCCCCGTGAAGCCGGAGCTGCAGGAGATGCCACTAGGGCGCCGCACCCGCGGCGGCGCCCTTGTCATCAACGAGGGCGGCCGCCCCTCTCCTTCTTCCTAGCGCCTCGTCCGGCCGAAGACCGAGCCGGGTTGCTCCCCGTGAAGAAGGAGCACGACGCCATGCCCGCCGACGACGTGACCGCCCTCAAGTGGGCGAAGGCGGACTACATCCGCGAGCAGATGGAGCGCCAGCGCCGGGCCTTTGAGAAGATCGCCGATCGGCACCGCGGACGCGAGGAGGGCGGTGTGGTCATCCTCGACAACGATGACGAGGATGCGCCTAGGCGGCGACGATGACGATGACGACCGCGACTACACCAGGTTCTACAGGCTCCTCGGCATGTAGATGGCGGGAGGCGACAGTGGCTGGGCGTAGGCGTTTTTAGTTTGTGTTTTTAAGTTTTTGTACAAATATCGATGAAATCGTCTAGTTTGAACGAAATTGTGTCGTGTTTAGCCGATTTTATATTCCAAAAAATGGCGTCTGGGCGACCTGGGTGTGGCGGCTGGAAACCCAGTCACCCCCACGCCGAAATTATTGCCGGTTCGTCCCAGAGGGCGCTATCTCAAGCCCATGGGGGCCGAACGGGAGATGCTCTTGCGGTCTTACGAGAGCTCTGGGTGGCCGGGCCGGCCTTGTTCGGCCCATTATCCCTGGGTGGCCGGGCCGGCGTTATCCGAGAGCTCTGAAGGCTGCGCTGCTCGTCCGAGAGTTGGAAGAAACGGCGGCGCACATGGAAGCGCAGCCGCGGGAGATCGACGCGCATCCTTCTCCATCTTCCTCGGCGTCGGCGGCCGCTGCTTCCTCGTCCTCATCGCTCACGTAATACCCCCAACCCCTACCTCGTCCTGTACGCCTCCTTCTTTCTGCGTCCCATCCTGTTTCTGTTCACCTGCGGATCCGCCTACATCTGCATGTAGGGATTAAGGCATAGATGGATTCTGCTTATTCTCGAAGAAGAACAACAATCCAGATTGAGACTTTCCCTGCTTTAGATGTCCAACATTGCAGATAATAATAGAGGAAAATCATATGTGCTCTGCTTTTATTTTTCTGTCAGCATCGACACTTGCCAGATACAGTATTTGTTTGAGAAATACTAGGCACAAACATTTATTTTTCAATCTAGCGCATATACATAACTTCCCCATAGAATTGATATCCAGTGCCTGCATCGTTGTTGATCTTATTCTGAGCTTCTCGGGAGCCACAACTCAATGCGATTAGTACCTTTGTTCAGTTAAGTGTATGGTGAGAACGTAGTGTGGCATTGATGTCCAAACGACACGCACCAGGCATGTTCTTTAGAATCTTGGCAATTCCTGTTCTTTTTATACAGTTAAGTTATACCTTGTTTCGCATGCCTAACCTTTTTCTTGAATTTGCTGTGTCGAACAGAGAGAGCGCCATGGTGCAAGTAATGGCCAACAGGACATGTTCTGCCTCTGTCTCCTCACTCTTTGCTTCATCTCGGCCACACGGATGGGCAGAGCTCCCGGACGACCTGCTCCGACCCGTTGTCGCTCTACTACGCTCGTTCCGCGACCTCCTCGCCTTCGGTACCATTTGTCGTCAATGGTGTGATCTCTTCTCAGCGCACAGGTCCTCTGTCCAGCCTTTGCTCCTCCACCCCAATATCCGTATCTACAGTGGACAGACTCTCTCGCATAACTGTTGGACCTTATTCCACAAATGCACATGGAAATTGGCTGACCCTGCTGCCACCTCCTCATGCTCTTGCAGTTCTCTTTCCTTGAGTGACCTCAGAAGCATGACCTTTCTGCGCTACTCCCATGGTCAGCTCATCTTCTACGACAACAATGGTTTCCATATTGTTAATCCATTCAGTGGCACTAAGGTTGGTCCTCCTTCCCTCCAGTCAGTTCACTTCACTTGCATCAGCTATTTCACCTTAACTGCCCCTGTTGCATCCGCTGATTCGCATCTCCTTGTCGGTGCTGGAGCCTATCTGTTCCTGTGGCGCATCGGGAGCGACTCTTGGACAAAACACAGCCCTAAAGTTGGTCGTTTTTCGATTGAACAAAATGTGGCCTTCAAGGGCAAGACATATGCCCTAGGGTCTTTCGGGTGGTTCTACATCATTCACTTGTCACCCAGTCTCATTGTTGAGAAGTTTAAAGTTGTGTTCGAGGAAGATAAAACCGAAGATCTCTATTCGGCAAATGAAAAAGCATGGCTAGTGGTGTGTGGTGACACGCTTCTCTTGATCAAACTTGTGGAGGCGGGAAGACGGATGCACTCGGAGGCCTTCCAGTTCATGGCCTTCAAGCTTGAGTCATTGGACAGCATGACCAAGAAGGCAAGGTGGGTGAAAGTGAACAAGTTAGATAACTGGGCCATCTTTATCAGCGTTGACGAGCGGTGCGAGGCGTTGCCGTGCATAAACCCGGAGGGATGGGGAGGGAGGAGCAACCACATATACTTCCCAGGTTATCAGTCTAAAAAACCTTGGGCTGCAGTTCAACTATGGAAAAAATGTTATTACCATTCGACACAGCTCTTCAACACTGGAAGACGTTACCTGAAATTGGAGTCAACCTGGGTCTTCCCCGCGCGTTTCCTTGTTACGTCCTGCGATGATCTTACGGCCGTGAGTGCGGTTGATGATTAGCTTCTGATACAGCTTTGGTGGGAGGATTCTACTATGTTGCAGTAGCAAGATGAGTAGTTCACTGAATGTTCTTGACGTGTTTCAAAACTTGCATTACAAACAGAAGTGTAGATTAAGTTATTAGATTATGTACTTTCCTCTTTTTTTCTGTGGCAATACAAGGGACCCATATGTTTTATTTCTCATTTATTACAGATTGTGGAGTTTTCTTGTACCTGGGCACTTGATAACATGGGCTAGGCCTGTAACTTCCCTTTCATACATAGATAGCTAAGAGTAACTTGTCTCAAAAAAAAAGCTAAGAGTAATTGTACTATGGTTGTTGATTATTCACGTGATGTGCTTGAGCATATGACTATCTCATTGGGTGGAAATGTGAATATTGATAACATAGCTTGGCAGAGCTACAATTTTTTAACTGAACATTGTACGCCATTTTGGGCTGGAGAGTTGCAAGGTCACCAAGAATTAAAGTGAGGATGCAAGTCCATAGACATCAGGTTAATATAGACTGCAAGTTCAGCCAACAAACCTATAAGCAGCATATATGCATTCATCACAAAGTTTATATTTTGCACCAACAAAAATTAGGCAGATAGAGTGTTCGACAACCAAACAGATCTGCATTTGAACATAGCTTCAGCAAACAGCTCTGTGTGCATTTGATTGTCTCTGTCTAAAATGAGATCAAGCTACAAATAGATGTATGGACCAAACAAAGCACATAACTAAAATAAAAGCCCAGGCACATCTGACATGGTGCACACAAAAAATGCTGAAGAGTGATATGAAGACTAGCTAGTATTGTTTCAAGATGCAAACCCTTATCTCTTGTATGCAAAACGGGAGTAATTAACAAGGTTCAGCGAAAACAGCAACATGTAGCACAAGTTTTGCCTCCAGGAATGTACACTGGGTGGCAAATAGAGATTATTACAAATCTTTTTTGGAAGGAATTATTACAAATCTTGATGTACTCCGTCAAAGGAGCGGAAACTAGAAGGAACATAGCGACAAAAAAGTCCCCAAGTGCAGCCAACGACAACAAGACAACTGCACGGTACAACGACACGTTCTCATATCCAAGCTGCAAAGGATGTAGGATTGCGAGCAAGATGAGCATTGATCGTCGCAAAACAAGGTTCTGGCTCCAACTCCTCATGTTGGTTGCCATCTACTGGGTATGAAAATACTCGAGCGTTTTCATCCAACTGATAGACAAGGCCACCCCTTAAACCCATTCTCTCTGGGTTCACTAAGAGTCGTGGCTGTCCAGTATGTTTCTCGCCCAAGAAGAACGCCCACTTCTTCAAGCCTCCCTCCTCCACGATCACATACTTTGCAGGTTCAGTTGAGAAGTCAATGGAGAAGGCTGCCCCGTTACGGCCAAGTAGGAGAAGTGTGTCTTCACAAGCCACCAAATTTCCGGAAAGCACGTACGAGTCCATATATAATCTCTGCAATCAAGTCTTAGTAGCTCAACATGAAACTGAGGTGTCAAATGCACGGTGTATAGTTTTTGACGCATCCTCATAATGACCCGGCCTTTGAAGGACACCATCTCCTTGATCAAATGTGCATTTAGAAAATCGCAGTGCAACCAAGAGGGGCTCCCAACTCGCCAAGTATACAGGCAGTGCGGGCTGCTGACAAATAGATATGAATCTGGTGACGCCTCTGGAGATATGAAGGTTCTGTAGCATAGTTGACTCAATGGAAAAGGTGGAGCTGCAACCGTAGTGCCAGTGAGCACATCCAGAATGACAAGGAATCTCTCGTAGCAGAAAATTGCATGACCATAAGAACATTTGATGACTGCCATTTTGTCCAAAATACTTGGAGGGGTCAAGCGACACAACGGAGTACTTGGATATACAGGATCAATGAGCTCCCATGTGTTTCCAATGTTAGAGCCAGCTGAGCTTGTCTGGTCGGCACAGTTCCGGAAAATAACAGGTGGGAAGATCTCGCCTAAGGTAGATTTGATTGACATGAATGCGGCATACCAGCTAGGGCAGGTGGCGATGAATGCAAGAAGGTCACGAGTTGAACCCAACAGGACAATGATGGAGTGCAATAATCCATGTGGTAGGTCCGCCCAGCCTTCGGGTCCAAACATGACACGGTGCACGGAGATGGGGGTGTCGGAGCTCCGGTTGATGTTTTGCATGATATCAGCTTCAAATTCTGCATTAAGGATCATGAAAGGACAACAATTTTAGCAATGGACCTGAGTTAACTATATAATATAAATTGATATCACTATTTTAATTAAATTGGTACTGCTACATCTATGATAATTATACAAACACAATAAAAATGTTTGTAGAAACTATAAACATAATACACAGCAGAGCAAAGACTACAGTATTGCCATCGAAATGTGCATCTGCCTCAAGAAAATTCGATCATGATAAAATTCATCTACAGTTGAAAAGAAAAGGCAAGTTCTATATTTTTCTTTCCACCGAATGTTATTTATATGTGTTGCGCAACAGGTTTGGCTCTTGTCTCCACCTCGATTCCGGGCCCACAGATACGCGATAAATTTCATCAACATTTGAAATTAAAAAGTGCAAGCAATATTGAAATTCTAAGATTGTTCGACACTGATAGTGGTAAACCCTTGAACTATTTCATATTTTCATATAGTTTAAACACAACAGGATCGCACATCCACCAACAACACATACACTCAGATCCCCAAATCATCCATGGCAGAGTCAGGCTAACAAGAACAAAAGTGCGATGAGCACGTCAGAGGAGGTTGCCCACAATGGGGGTGATGACGGGCCAAGGAAGATGATCCTGGGAAGCCTTGCGCGGTGGAGAACTCTGTCTGATCATGGACCGTGGCACCGGTCAGCAAATATATATACTTGGCCAACCCACGAGACCATGTCCTACATGGAAATTGACTTAACCTAGATCACATCATATACTACATATTCGGACTCAAGCTTGACGCAAACACGTGAACTCCTACTAGTACATGTACATGACTTTGGTTAGTCCCCAAAGAAATAAAGCCACGTGACATACAAGCAGTGGAGGAGCTACGGAAGAAAACAAGGGCGGGCCGGTACAAAGGAAGACCCATAATTTTCAAGCTCATGGCTGAGTTTACTCTCAGTCTCCACTGTAATTGCTATGAGCTGGGCGGGCCACGGCCGATTTTGTCAACACATAGCTCCGCCAGTGCATGCAAGCACCAACTACATCATGTTCCAAACAAAACAATCAAGATTATGCTAACACTAACGTCGGCCACTGCACCACCAATGGCTGTCATGGGTTCCCAAGTCCAGTAGGAGGTGGGGAAGGTCTCGTCCACGATACCGGCAATCACTCCAAAGCTGCTTGTATGTACAACTCAGAGCAATGGGGTAGAACTCGACATCAACTTGGTTCCTTCCCTTGTCGGGGCTAAACCCGGAGGGCGGAGGTGATTCAAGGCCAGGCCTCCTCCATGAGTCTGGCAGCTAGCAAGGAAAATGAAGTGGGCGAAGTTAACCTCAACAAGGCTCCTCCCCTACCCATGGAGCCAGTAACATGAAAGCCAAGCACCACAAAGATAAGAATGGCCACAAGGGTAAGCCAGGGAAGTAAGTTGATCAATCCCTGGTGAACACCGGGGCGGCATTGGGTAAATGCATGGGACGTGACAGTGAGTCTTGTAGTGAGTTTGTGGCGACACCTAGTTACAAGGGTACTGGTCTGAACAAGAAGGCATGAGGTGAGGGTAATGGAGGTGGCATGAGCAACATAGGTGTGTTAGGCGGTAAGGAAGCTATCGGCCCATTGGTTGCCGATGAATTACATGTGATAAGGAAGGCACCTATCAGGAGAAATGAGTTGCCTGATCTAGAATTGTTGGGGCCTCGGGCAGTCTCGGATAGTTGAAAAGCTAGTTTGCCTCATGCACACATATACCACTTGATGATCGTTTTACATTCTGAAACTCAGCAATGTGAAAGGAGTTTCAATAATCTTAGGTGGATGCTAGGCGCCAGAATTGTATTGTGCATGACGGTAAGGGCAAGGGTGTGTTGCGTTGTTGTGAGATAAATGAACTAAAATAAAAAGATTGCCATATACCTAAGGTACATCAATGTCTTATTTCATGATGATTCCCATGGACCGAAGTGTCGGGATACATGGTGAACCTAAGGAGTAAGGAAGACGTCAAATCTGGAGTTTACTCAAAAGAATAAAGCCAGATGCTCATGAACACTTGTTGATGATAGGTGATTTTTATGAGATGATGTGTGGCGGCATGAGCACTTCTCAGTAGCTTTGATATTCGAGAGAAAAATACCAATTTCAGAGAAGCCTTGTTCTAGTGTGATCTTCATAATTGGGGCTATAAGGGGCCATCCCGGACATACAATAATAAACAGTATGGTAAAAGCAATGTGACCATCAGGTTGAAAGTGCAGTTGCATCGTCAGGGTTGGTGTGATTTATTCAGAGTGAACAATGGTACCTACATATGCTCCAACCACTTTCCTCTATGGCTGCAATACAGAGATAGACCAAGGTGCATAGCAACGTGAAATCCTTCCGGTATGAGTAGATATGGGAAAGAGTACCATCACCGAAGGGAACTACTGAAATCCCTGGCCGATGATTGCACTAAGCTGGGAGTGCTGCAATAGGATGTTTGGTCCTGGACATGAAAGATTTTGGGTCCATGATAAGCAGTACTCACTAGCTGAGAAGGAATATTGTAGTCACATACTGAATGCACCATCTTATTGGTTGCGGATGGTCGGGAAAGCATCTTAAGAAAGCAGGTCTTGGAAGGGAGGTTAATGCCTATCAAAATTGTTAGGGGAGCCTCGGTGTCTCTAAACTAATGTTTGTTGATGACAACCTTTTGTTCTTCAAGGCCGTAGGAAGAGAGGTGAGGGTAGTGAAGGACACTCCAAATATATTTCAAAGGTGTACATGATAGCTTCTTAGCCCGGCTAGATGCTCTTTATTACTTAGTGAACATTGCTCGCCCCATGTCCAGTAAGAGATAAAGGTCACCCTTGGTGTTGTGGCTTCCACTTTTGAGAATAAATATTTGGGTTTACCTACCCCAGAAGGTAGGATGTTTGCCTTGAATTTTAGTCATCATGGAAAGGTTCACAAAAATGTGCAAGGACTGGATTGAAAAGTATGTGACCCATGCAGCTAAAGTGGTCTTGATCAAGTAAGTGGTTCAAGCGCTTCCCAATTACTTCTTTGGATTGTTCAAATGTCCTTGGGCTTTTGTGATAAGTATGAAAATTTTATCTGGGACTTTAGGTGGGGCGATGAGTAAGGACATCACAAGGCCATTTGGCTCTCCTGGTACCAACTTATAAAACAAAATAGAGGAGGTGTTCTAGGATTCTGGGATATGCATATGTTTAACCAAGCTCTCCTAGCAAGGCAAGGGTGGAGACTGGTTCACAAGCCGGATAGTTTATGTTCCAGAGTCTTGAAATCAGAATATTATCCTTGTGGGATATTCTAGACATAGTCATTTCCTCGTATGCATCCCTGGCTTGGAGTTAAGATACTCAAGGGAGGCATCATCTGGCGTACAGTGAATGGACGAAAAATTCAGATTCAGATAGACAACTGGATTTGGAGATAGTATGGCCTCAGGTTGCCAAATTCACTAGAAACTCAAGGTTGAGGTGGGTTAACCAGTTGATTGTCTTGATAAAAAATGAATGGAATATTAACCTTGTCCATAGGCTATTTTCTGATTTTGATGTAGAGGAGATATTTTGCATAAATCACCCTTCTATGTAATGGATGACGTGCTTATAAACTTGCCACCCAACTCAAATTCAGGTACAAATCCCCTGCTTCTAGGTCATCAAGTGCGACATATAATTGGAGTATTTGGGATGTGATTTGGAGAGATAAGCTTCCAGAGAAGGTTAAAGTCTTTGGCTTGAGGTTGCTACTGGCTCACTGGCTACACAATTGTGTAAATTTATAAAGGCGGTGAGTGTAACACTATTTATGCTATTTCTGGTAACAAGGTGGAGCATGAATTCCAATCTCCACAGTGGCTTTGGGATGTTGGCTAGTGTCCCATCAATACTTCTTTTTTGGGGGAATTGGTGTCCCATCAATACTTAATGCCCCCATGTCTAATGATTGCAATCAGTCTATGGTAATATAAAAGTCTAGTATTTTCCCTCAATTAAGTAAAATAAACACAACTCGAAGATCAACTAATTTTTACCTTATTTTTTCTAGAAAAAATAGGCGAGTTCTTCCCTTACCTTCTTCGATGTTGATAGCGGAGGGCGAAGTGGAGGCAACAAGTAAATTCTCCGATGCCAGTCGTGGCAAGACGTGGCCATCGGAGATAGTATGCCGCTTTCCTCCATCGCCAATCATCATGTTGGCTCCAGATCTGGAAAAAATGGTTGGTCACCCACACTTAGGACTCCAGATC